TTTCCTTTTGTAGCCAGTGAGATGACCCTAAGGTTTTTCTCCTTTAATCTCTTGATGTGAATTACATAAACAGAAGTTCCCATATTAGACCATATTTGAGTTCCTGGGAAACATACACATACACACACACACACACACATACACACACACCATATATCATAAAACATTATATATTTAAATATAAGCTTAAGGACTTGATTGGCTAATATTTTATTTAGGAGTTTTGCATCTTTGATCATAAGTGAGATTGGTCTTTAAATTCCCTTTCTTATGTTGTCCTTGTCTCTAGTTTCAACTTCCCTTTTTTTTTTTCTTTTTTTAAGAATTTATTTATTTGACAGAGAGAGAGAGACTGCAAGAGAAGGAATACAAGCAAGGGGAGTGGGAGAGGGAGAAGCAGACTTCCCGTCGATCAGGGAGCCCAATGCAGGACTCGATCCCAGCCCCCTGGGATCATGTCCTGATCTGAAGGCAGATGCTTAATGACTGAGCCACCCAGGCGCCCCTGCTTTTTGGCTTTGATGAACTTGGGTCTCAAGTTAGAAATAAGCTTTACTTCCTGGAAAGGTGAAGAGAATTTTCAGGATCAAGGGGCAACAGCTGTGTTCTGGGATTCTGGGGATTTCCCTGGGGTTTCCATTTTGAGTTAAGCGGAATGAGCCAGAAACATTCTTAAGGATGGACCACTTCCCACCATGAAGGATTCTGAAATACTTTCCAGGAGCAAAAAATAAAGACGTAACTGATTGTGTAGTTCATCCCGGCTGCTAAGAAGCAGCACATTATTCTGAACCCAATACGGGGGCTGCAGACCACAGAGCCTGGCAGGCTACAGCGACTGTGTAGGCCTCACAGGGAGCAAATCCGGAGCAAGGAGCCCCGACTGACATCAAGTCACAAGTGGATACCACTTTCCAGGCTGCAGGTTCTGGGGCCGTGGCACCATCTCAACTCCCGGGCACACACTTCTGATCTCTTTATTTTTTCCATAGCTTTAAGAGAAATTTTTGCAACACTGGCTACTCCTTACTTCTTTGCCCAGGCTGGGAAGTCATTAGATTTGCTCCTTCTGGAGCTTTTTATGCCTGGAGTCAGGAACTGCCCCTGAGGAAAGGCTTTTAAACCTCTCCTTGTAGCTAGGTGGGCCACTGGGAACTGTGCTCCTAGCCGGCAGCAGTGGGCCCAACACTGATGTCTTCTGTGTGAGGACAGAAGGACACAGAGGACACTGATGTCTTCTGTGTGAGGGTGAGGACATGCTGAGCCGGCTTTGACCATGTAGAGAAGGGTAATGGCAAACGGTATTGCAGAGAGAAGGAATGGGGGCTGAGCTGTCCTACGCCTTGCCTGCCAGGCTGGACTTTTCCACAAGGGAGAAATAAACCTTCCATCTTATTTGAAGTTATTTTATCTTGGCCTTTGTTAGAATCAATATCCTAACTATTACACATCCGTCTCTTGAATAAAGCTCTGAGCCTTTTTTTCCCGATGCAGAATAGAAATGGCTCACTGGTTTCTAAAGGTTTCTGTGAGACTTGCGTTTTGTCTTTTCTCCCCATTGTTTTAGGCTCTTCATTAGGGATCCTCTGTACCTCATGCAGGGCTCCCCAAACCTCCCACCCCTAAGAAAATATTAAGTTCTGCCACACTCGAAGGGGTTATGTCAATATTGCTTCAGAGACACTCACAAAATGCGGAGGCCGGTAAGACTGCTTCGTTCAGACTGGGTCTGCGGCCCACGCTCGGCCTTAAGTAAAAGAAGGACTTACACAGAGGACTCACTCCATCAGTCCCCCGAGATCAAGCCCTGCCCTCCACCATCACTGAGACTGATCTAGAAAGTAATCTTCACGTTATCAACTTAGCACCAGCCTCTCCTGACAAGGTGCAACTTATGGCTACTAAATTAAGGTTTTCAAGAAACAGATGAAGAATTAGCCTTTTGTGAGCACTTACTGTATGCCAGACTCTGGAATATGTTGCACGTATTAACTCCTTTATCTCTCCGTCACCTTATGGGATAGGCAGTATTAACCTCCATTTTACAGAAGAAGAAAAAGATGCCCAGAGAAGTTCAGTAGCATACTCCCGGGCCTGCAGTTAGTAAGTGGGGGAAACCAGGACCCGAACCCAGAGAATCAGACTTGCTGTCAGTGCTTTTGATCACTATGACGCAGCCTAGACAGTATCCCCTACTCCTTCCATCCTCATTATTTTTGAAAGAACAGATGAAATCAAATCGCTGCTAAATGTAGAGAAATAAATTCTAGAAACAAGGCCCAAGGCAGTGATTCTCAAAGTGTGGTCCCTGTGCCACCACCATTAGCATCACTAGCGAACTTATTCAAATTGTAAATTCCATTACCTCAACCCAGATCTAATCAGAAACTCTGGGGACAGGGCCCCCAAATCTATTTTAACCAGCCTCTCAGGGGTTCTGAAGCACCCTGAAGTTTGAGAACCTCTGGCCTAGGAAATAAACAAGAATTGAATTTTTATTCTTTCTTTGGGCCACGGGGTTGGGGAAAAGAGGTTAGAAAGGAAACTTTTGTATTTAACATGAGTAGTTTTCTGAACCCTCTTTGGTTTGTCCGGTGAAAACCTGCATGCAGTCACCTCACCAAATCTGAGATCCAAGGTATTCTCAGGGGAGATGGCACTGACTCACTGCTCATAATTTAAGCATGAAGATCACTACTTAATTTAGTGTAGAAGAAAAATCCTGGCCATTAGATGTAAGACCTAGGAGGGGAAGAGTGCTCTTTAAATAGTTAAAAAAAAGAATTCCTTGGCGCGCTGTCTTGTTTTCCTTCAAAGATTTGAAATCCTTTTTAAACATTAGCATTTATCACTCAGGACAGGCAAATGCCTTCTTTAATTTTCTACAGTGATATTTCACCGCATTAAAGACTGTCTGGATAACCCTTACGGAACTCAGCCAGAGCCCGTCCCTCTGTCATGAGCCAGGAAGCCTGTTTGGACTGACTTGTTCCGCACTGCCTAAAACCTCCACTGCACTTGGCCGAGATCTTGGAGTCTCGTCAGTGTTCACATTCTACATATGTGACTTATGATAAGAAAGGTCTGAAGACTGGAACGTTTCCTCGGCTATTGTCACTCGGCTTTGAAAATGGAGAGGGTAGGAGGCTTGTTTTAGCAAAAACTCTGTTTAAGGGGCGCCTGGGTGGCTCAGTGGGTTAAGCTGCTGCCTTCGGCTCAGGTCATGATCTCAGGGTCCTGGGATCGAGTCCCGCATCGGGCTCTCTGCTTAGCAGGGAGCCTGCTTCCCTCTCTCTCTCTGCCTGCCTCTCTGTCTACTTGTGATCTCTCTCTGTCAAATCAATAAATAAAATCTTTAAAAAAAAAAAAAACTCTGCTTAAAAGCTTGACCAAACCTAGAAATTGGGCAACCATAATATTCTATTGTCTTATATGCAGAAGCAATGAAATGAAATCTTTTTAAAATTTTTTAAATTCTTTTTTAAAGAAAGAGAGAGAGCACACAAGGAGGGATGGTGGGCAGAGGGAGAAGGAGGGAGAGAGAATTCAAGCAGGCTCCAAACCCAGCTTGGAGCCCTACGTAGGGCTCAATCCCATGACCCTGAGATCGCGACCCAACATAGCCAACCAACAGAGCCACCCGGGTGCCCTAGCAATGAAATCTTCTAAAATGAGTATAAAAATTATTTTTGTCTAGAATGTCAAATGAAAGAAATAATAAAATATGTAAACAGAAAAATATCAAGTTTAGGGTAAAATCCCAAATCCGTGACTTTGCGCATTTATCTCTGGTGAGCTTTCACAGTCTTCCTCACCTCATGGGTTCTAGAGGAGATAGGAAGAGTCGTGGTTTCATTTCACAGGTTGATAAACCGTGGCCATGAGAGGGTAGATGCTTAATCATTATGATATCCAAGTCAAGATTAATATTCGTGAAAGGGCTACTGTGTATGAATTAGTTCATTTCCTCCTCATGCAGCCTTACATAGGGAGTACTGTCTTCAGCCCCAGTTAAGGACACTGAGGCACAGAGGGTTTACGGCAGAGACCGTGTTATCCACTCAGCTGCTCAGAGCTGTTGCTAGCCTATGTAGAGCACTTGATGTGAACCAAGCAAGGCACCCCAGTAGACCGGCCAAGTAGGAAGAGGAGCCCCCAGTGCATGGAGACCCCTAGTCCTGAGCTGCTTGGCTTTGGGAGCAGAGCATATGCCCCTATTTGCTCCTTCTGCTGGATGCCTTTGTATAGCCAACAACAACCAATTCTTTCCAGCCAGCACTGTGTCTACACCGTGGGAACACAAGAGTCTCTCACATACCAGTTTCCACTCCCACAAGATGCAACGAGGATAACGAACAGTCCTGTTCCCTGGGGCTATCCAAACGTAGCATCACACAGATACACGGGTGCCCCCCACGAAGAGCTTAGAGTTGAGCTCAGGTCTAGGAACATGAACTATGCCAAAAAGCCCAGTTCTAGGCCCAATATTTCCTAGAATCATCAGTATTAAATGCACTATCATTTTTGGAGGAGCCACACTTGAACAGCTCTGGCTACCCAGGGTGGTGGGCAGCAAGGTCTGGGTCTCTAAAGATACTGGTTGCCACCTCTGCTGGAATACTAACCCTCTGGGCAGGGAACCTCAGCTCCTGCACCCGCATATCCGAGCCCGTGGGCAAGCAAGGGGATCAGAGATGGAGAGGGGCTCATACAGCCTGTTCCTGATGACGCAGAGTCTCCATTCTCTGTCATCAATCTGCTGTCCCTGGCAGGACAGAAATCTTTCAGTAAGCCCAAGGATATAAAAGCACGCAATCATCAGTAGGTCTGTGATGCACTAAGAACCGTCAGCATCTGAACTCAGCATTTTGGCATGTTTTCTGACTTCTAGCCATGAGAGGAAGTGGAGGGGTCATTCTGCATTAACATCTTTGAACCAGTGCAAACCTCATCAGACAATTATTGTGATAAGATTTAAAACCCAACCCAGCTGTCTCTACCTTGGTCATCTTGATGATTCTCTCCAGGGGGTTCTCCTGGTTCTTCATGATCGTCTAGCTCGTCTCCATTTTCCTATGAGGTTAATACATAATAAAAAATATGTAAGGCAAAATAAAGGCAAACACTCTTGTGGTCCATGCCCTTTGGTAAAAGGAAACCAAATTTTCTTAGTGTTTCTTCTTTGTCAGCCTATTTTAACTTCCAGTGTCCAAGAAGTCTAGCAGCCCCGGGAAGGAAGCTAAAGAGGCAGGTGGGCTTAGCTGCAGTGTTGAGCACCGGTGGGGTCTCAGCTATACTTCTGTTGTGGGGGGCTTGCCCATCCATGTGGACAGGGCTCCATGCCTGGCCTTAACTGGCGGCAAGGAGAAGAATGCCACACGCCAAGTCCAACTCAGGAAGGAAGCAAGGTACTTCTACGGACTTGATGGATGACTGGGGTGATGAGAGCAGACTCTGAAAGAATGGGAAGGGTGGGATGAATCAGAATCCCTGGGCCTTGATGATAGATTAAGGGCTTTGGTCTTGAGAACAAATGGAAGGTACTGAGGGTTTAAGGAGGGGAAGCAAAAGGGTCAGATTGGCCTTTTGTAGAGTTTCCAGGATTACCACGGATTGGGGGTTTCATCACATCTAATCCCTTCTTCCTTCTTTCTCCCAGTGTTTCACCATTCAAACATCAGCTTGTACGGTGTTTCACCATACAAACTGGTGCCGTCCACCATCTAGAAATCTCCGTGACAGTGGTCCTAACTGGCTGTGCAGTTAGAATTATTTGTTATCAAATGTCCAAGCTGCTTTGGGAAGAGACAATTAATTATCTGCTAATTTGTTTGACATTCTCTCCTTACTCTATAGCTTTGTACCCTGTGTGTTTCTCACTTGTTAGCTTCATGTTGGTAGCCGATGAGACAGTCTGACATAAAGGAGCTAGAGCTGGGGCACCTGGCTGACTCAGTTAGAAGAGCATGTGACTTGTGATCTCAGGGTTGTGAGTTCGAGCCACACATTGGGCATAGAGATTATATAATTAAATAAATAAATACATAAATAAATAAGGTATGTTAAAAAAATAGAGCTAGAGCAGGTAAACAATTTTCCTTTTTGGCTTTTTAAACTTTTATTGTTTTATTTTTTAAGTTTATTATTATTATTATTATTTTAGTAATCTCTATACCAACGTGGGCCTCGTACTAATCTCTGTAATCATTCCAATTTCAGTACATGTGCTTCTGAAGCAAGCACAGTTATTTTCTTTCTTTCGGATTTCTCATTTTGGAGACAAAGCAGATTTGGCCTTAGTGCAGTGAAAAACATTCATCCCTAAATAAATGAAAAGTTTTTTTTTTTTTTTTTGAAAAATTACAGCAGGAAAACCCACCTCAGTCACTGCAAACTGCTAAGTTATAAGAGTAGAAAAGAGATAAACTGAAAGACAAATTCCTCTTTATAAATCCTTTTAATCTACAGGAAATTGGATTAAAAGGGAGAAACAAGCTTGCTCCTTTGGGAGAATTTCAAAGACAAGAAAGACAAACCTTCAGTCTTAACGACCTGTAGCTATGAGCCTTCAGGGCAAGAAATATTTTCATTTTACGAATGGGGAGATGGGGGCAGAGGGAGGGACTTTTAAAGAATCTTCTGGCATGTCTCTATTAGAAAAAGAAGTAGTCTGAATTTGAAATTCTGTCTGTTGCTCAGAAAACTATAAAAAAAACCCCTATCATGTTTTAGATAAATAAACACACGTGATAAATGACTTATACCTAAGGCCATTTACTTTAGCAGTTTTGAAACAACCTACAAGTGCTACCAATTGATGACTAGTCAAATAAATTATGGTAATTCACACTATGGAATATTATACAACTACAAAAGCATCTCTTTATGAATTAACATAGGAAGAACTCTAATTAAGAAAAAAGATGTAAGACTCTGAACAATGTGTATGATATTAAAGTATGTATAAAACATGTGTCTGTGTATTCTTCTACGTGTACTGGCTTATGCATGAGTACTACAGGTCAGGAAGGACACACAGGAAGCTAGCCACAGTGGAACCCAAGGGGAAGGGAGCTGAATAGCTAAGAGACATACCCTTTCATACTCAAATTTTCAAAGACCATCTGAGTATATTTCAAATTCAAAATCCGAATTAAAAAACTAAAACTACTGGCACCTGGGTGGCTCAGTGGTTAAGCATCTGCCTTCGGCTCAAGTCGTGATCCCAGGGTCCTGGGATTGAGCCCCACATCAGGGTCCCTGCTCAGCAGAGAACCTGCTTCTCCCTCTCCCACTCCCCTTGCTTGTGTTCCCTCTCTAGCTGTCTCTGTCAAATAAATAAAATCTTAAAACAAAAACAAAAATATTACTAACATGATATTGTAGGCCAACTATATCAATTTTTAAAAACCTAAACCGTGGCGCCTGGGTGGCTCAGTGGGTTAAGCGTCTGTCTTCAGCTCAGGTCATGATCTCAGGGTCCTGGGATAGAGCCCTGCTTCCTGCTCTCTGCTCAGGTGGACTCTGTTTCTTTCTCTCACTCTCCCTTTGTGCTCTCACTCCCTCTCAAATAAATAGATAAAATCTTAAAAAAAAAAAAAAAGTCTAAAGCAAATAAAATGCAATTTGTCATTTTTAGTATGAATTACTAATGCAACGACTAAACCGAGTGATCGAAGCTCCTAACACCCTGTGAGTGAGTGAAACAAACCAAAGGACTGAAAATTCCATCATCCCACTCGGTTATTCTGGCCAAGTCGTTTGCTCTCCATCCGTTCATTCAGCCCATGAGCACTGG